TAGTCCAATAGGCCGCGCCCAGGCCCAGCGGCAGGTCCACTTCTTGAGCCCAATTCTTGAAATTCCAACCCAATTCCTCCATTACCCAAGATTTGCGTATGTTAAGGATTTAATGAGGATTAATTTGAACTAAGATGACCCTAACAAAGATTAAGGGAAGTCAACTCAATGAGCATGCAAAGTGGAGTGATGGGCAATGTAATATTTTATTCAAAAATGCTACTCTTTGTTCCCTTGTCTCCCACCACCTGACCAGACCTCGTCCAATTCTCATAATGCTCTGATATTCCACTCAAAGTCTCAGCAAAAACGTGCTAAAGCCACCCAAGCCAAGTCCCAAGAACCTCCTCCATACCTCTCATGCTCATGAAGGGGGAAAGGCACCCATTTATGTCCCCCTTTGACCAAGCCTTGTTAAATCCGTCCATAACTCTATATAAGGCCCCTTGTTCAGATATTGAAAGCTCTTAGACTCTTAAACACTTGCACATATTGAGAGGAATCAAAGGATAAACCGATAAGGCACCATAGCCCTTACCGCGCAATCGAGCAAACTCAGGTGGAGGAGTTCACGAGGTCTAGACCATTCCAGCCATATTCTCACGAGGCTTAGCAACTTCTAAGTATTTTTTAGACTTTTCTAAGTCTTTTGAGTCCATCAAATCCCAGCCAAACCGTCCCGAACCAAGCCATAGCACCTAAAGTTGCGTCTAGCCCGAGTCTTGGCCCTAGCACTCGTTATCCACTTTCGGTGAAGGTTAGCTCCAGCTATATTTTTTCCTCAACCTATTTATAATATTTTAGGATTTTTCATGTAGTAAAATCAAGCCATGCACGTTAAAATTCATGAGTTTTGAATTTTATGAATTAATGGCCTTAATTTCAAAATTTTAGTTGCATGCATGCCAAAGTCGAAATTGATAGCTTAATCTCCCTCATATATCATGTCTCTGTTGGTGTATAAGTTTGAGTATGATTGGAGTTCGTTGCCTCGGTCAACTTGTTCTTGAATTTATGTCATTTTGGACCCTCGAGCCTTATTTTCATGCATGTGAGTTCTTGCTATCATTTCAGCCTCATTCACCATGTTTTTGTATGTGTTATACTCGGCCATGTTCATATGTTTAAGAGTTTATAGTTGGTTCGGTGAGTTAGTGCTCGTACGTGCCATTTAGGCCCTACCGAGCAACATGCATGTGGACCCGGTGTCACACCCCACTTTTATTTGACAAAAATCAATATAAAATTTTCAAATTTTATATCGAAATCACTTGTGGTGTTACTATTTTCAATTCAATAATCAAACAATCTCAATACTCAATCCTCAATTATCAATAATTCAATCATCAATAATCAATACTGCAATCCAATACTCAAACCGAGTTTCTGAAATTCATAATATCTAGGAAGTACACTCCCTATCAATAATCCAATATTCAATATTCCAAAATACAATAATATCAAAAGTAAGTTCAATAGGCGGAACCAATAATCAAATAAATAGAACACCACTCGCGTCCCTCCGCCGTGCCTGCTTATACTAATCTGCATCCATGAAGAGCAGGTGGGGATGAGCACAAATAGAAACCATAGGGCTCACCACTATGCAGTAAACATTAATCAATATATATAGACAGTAATCATAAATAAGTCAGGCATGGTCGCAGCATATATACGAATCAATTAGTTATCCCAACCTCCTATCCCAAGTTCGTTCTCATGTGCACACCTATCTCAATAGACTACTGTTGGTCCACGTATCGTATGTCTGCTTAGGCCTTACATATCGTATGCCTGCTTAGGCCTCACGTATCATATGCCTGCTTAGGCCTTATGACGCTATCCTAACAGTAGGAGACTCCCCCGACGACCGAGCGCGGCCCTGGTCTTTCAACGGGGTACTGATCGCCGACTGAGCACAACCCAGGTCTTAAGCGACGTGTCCTTCTCAAGGACATAAAGAGCAGATTACCCCAATGGGGTCGTTCTATAGCTACGGGGAAAAACCGTTCGACGGCCGGTACAGCTCACATCGAAGTCTACATAGTTCACATGCATACATTGATCATACCACAAATTATACATTAATAACATTTACAGCATAGGAAATTTTAGAATAACAACCCACCTCGATAACAGCAGGAGATAATACAGAAGCACGAATGGGTGGTGAGCTCGACTCGTCAAGCACCTACATTAAGTCAAATGCTATAATTAACATCTACTTTGACTTAAACGGAAAACATAATCATACTTAGTCGAACTTGATTCGACTAAGTTGTTCAGGAAGTCCTGTGGACGTTGGAACGCTTAGACTCGACACTAAGACTCAACCAAATACACATGGAAGTTCACATAATCCAAAACAAAGATTGACCAAGTCAACACACAAAGAAACAGAAGGCGAGTCGATTTACAGTTTTTAATGTAAAAGCCATATATATGAAAATACTAGTTTTTAATCACAAAAACAAGTTGGTCAAGTTATTAAATGAGTTAGGCTCTGAAATTTTAACCAAAAATTTACCTCCCAGTAATTAGAATAACCACCAAGTTTCAGGCCCAAACTCAAAGTAATTTTATAAAATTCAAGTAGGTTTATGGAAACGAGCATAAATTAACAACTAGACCAAATGAATGAACCTCAGCCTGTGAATAGCAGTGTGTAAAAATCTCAGCTCTAAGCACCAAACATGCGATTTATTAAAATTGCTACAACATTCAGCAGTTTTCGAAGTTTCAACAGATTTGAACCTAAATGAACTCTAAAAATTCCAATATTTTAACAGCATGAAATACACCACAAAACAGGCACTTCAACCAAAAATCAGAATTTTTCTACATCAGATCAATTTATCATAATTAAAATAATTTTCGGCAGAAACACAAAATAATTTATTTATCTAAGGTAAGAGAGTCCAATAATGAAAATTTTACAAAGCAAGCCAACATGCCAGAGACACAACATACTCGAATTTCAGCTAATTTGGAGCACTACACAATTTATTATGCATTTAACATGAATCTGACCAGAAATCATTTTAATTAATTAAATTAGCTACAGGACATGAAAAATTATGAAATTTTTACACGAGCTGAACCTTCATCAGAGGGCCTTACTCACAAAATTTCACTATCAGAGCAGTATACAATTTATAGTGAATTTAATACAAAAACAGCCACATTACGAGTTCATCAATTCATGTAGGACTCGATTTACGACGACATCGTCTGAGGTCTGCACCATAAGACCAAGGATCATATAAGGTTCCAATCCACATAAACTTATCACGAATGACGAGGTATCGACCGATTTCTCAAAATCGAAGAGCTCGTCTACACAATAATATATATTAAACCAATTACAAACACATAAAATTGTACGGCTTATATATATGTATTTGAAAATCACGCTCAACACACCAAATAACGCATAACATAAACGATATATATATATATATATATATATATATATATGATTTATCGAGACGGGGTTCGAGCCTTATACCGTTCTCGGGAATCGATCGAAAAATAGGACAGGAGACGCGAACGGCAACGCGCGGCTCCTGAGGGAGGACGACGGCTCGGTCGACGGATGTAGAGGTGCTGCGGAGGAGCAGCAGGGTCGCGGCCTTCCTTGACGGGGCTCAGCTGAGGCTCGTGGTGGAGCAGCGGCTCCAGTATGGCGGAGACGGGCCTGCGCGCAGTGGTAGGTCGCCGGAAGGGGCTGCTCTTGGTCTCGCCGGCGGCCGTGAATGAAGGATGGCGGCTTGCGGAGGTGCTGAAATGTTGGTTGGCGATGGAGTTGAACTCGCCGCAGAAGAGGGCTCGCGGCGTTGCTGTGTTGTCGACGGCGGAGGCTCGAGGGTCGTCGGAGGTGGATGATGACCGCAAACAGAGGCCCAACGGGGCGTGGGGCTCGCGGAATTGGTGCTCCAGGTTCGTCGCTGGTGTTTTTCGGCCGCGAAGGAGACCTTCCGGTGAATCTGGAGACCCGTCAATTGCGGTCGCTGCTGGCAGTTGATGGGCGGACATCGGATCTACAGAGGGGAGGTGATCGGAAAATTTGCCGAGATAAGGGAGGATGATCGGAATTTGAGCGAGGGAGGGTGATGATGATGATTGTGGTTTGACGAGAGAAAGAGATAAGGGATTTTGGACTGCGGGGGATTTTCTGAAAGGAGTAGATTTGCTCTTCCTGCTCTTCGTGGAGGATGAGAGATGGGAGACGGAATCAGGTTTGAGATTGCGGCGTGGTTCTCTCTTCTGATATTTGAGCGAGATAAATTCAAGACTTAGAGCTTGTTTGTTAAGGTAGATAAGACTAGATTAGGCCCCTTATCTTGCCCGAAACCTGTGTTTGTTTCCCAAGATTCTGGCCCGCTAGATTAAGCATGGCCCGCCACTAAATCTGCTTTAATCTCGATTTCCGCCGATTAATTGATCTTGGGAAGGAGGTGTGATTCAAAAAATCTGAACAGGAACTTTGTGGTGAAAATACTACAATATCCTCTATATTTTATTTTTCTGACCATGATGACCCCTTATTTAGCAAAAACTACCAAAAAAACCAGTCTCTACCTAACACCATATCTTGTAAGCCAAAATGCATTATTCGATTTCTGAGAAATAAAAAATGCATTATTCGATGCTTTCCTTCCCTAAATTTGAACTCTCTTCCGAACTTTCCGATCTATTAATTGCGAGGTACAACAAAATTTTCTTGCAGTTATCTTCTTCTTTGAACCATTTTTTTTCTACTTTTTGGTCGTAGAGTATTCACAGACGTGCCATTTTTTTTTTCCTAAAAAAAGACCTTCATGGGACCATCGTTCACCGCAATAGAGGTAGACTAAATGATAATGATAACCGACGGTTGTAAAATAAATCAAAACATATAACTCAGGCGCTTTGTGTATGAATAATTCATGATTACAAAGTTTGGAGTGTAGACATCTTATGTGAACTGCAAAAAAAAAAAAAAAAAGTTGTAAAAAAAGATGAACATGAGGCTTAGGTTCAATTTGCGCTTGAGAAAGGAATCCCAACAATATCTGCGGTTATGGGTACGAGAGACTTCCGATGTTGTTCATTGTGCACGTTGTAGGGTGCCATGGCATATTGAATACTATAGTTCCGGATTTCCTCAACTATGAATTACATTCATAAAATACATCTATTATTTGTAATGTCATATTTCTTATATTGGATGGACATGGTTTGTTCTTTAATGTGTTGTTTAGGTGGTAAGCTTCTCTTGGAGCTGAACCGTTTACTGCGACCTGGTGGTTTCTTTGTTTGGTCTGCGACTCCCATTTACCAGAAACTTCCAGAGGATGTTGAGATATGGGAAGGTACTTCTATTCCAATTTATCATAAGCTTAGTTTTTCTTTGACACTTAGACAAGCAGTTCATTTTCATGTTTTATTGCGGGGCAGCCATGAAGCAGTTGACAAAAGCATTGTGCTGGGAAGTTGTCTCGATAACCAAGGACATAATAAATGGAGTTGGAATCGCCTTGTACCAAAAGCCCACTATAAATGAATGCTATGAACAGAGGTCAAAAAATGAGCCTCCTCTATGCCAAGACACTGATGACGCCAATTCTGCTTGGTATGCATTTTTATTTCGTCAATGGGAACATTGCTTTTTGATTTGTAGCTGAAAATTTGCTCGATGTTTTGTTAAAAGCAGGAAGCTAGGATTCTATTTTTTACATATACAAGTTTGTGTTAATATTTTATAATGATCAGGAATGTGCTTGCAAGCATGCACAAAGTTCCTGTAGAAAAAAAGTTGTTAAAAAAATTAAATCGATGACAACAAAAAATAACGTTTGTGTGGTAGATTTTGGCTTTATCAAAAACTATGTGGGAGAAGGAAGAGAAAAATAATTAAATTAATTATTTTGGGCAAATAGGTAAATATACAATTTATCTTAACAATAGTCCTATGAAACAAATACATCACACTTGACAATAACCAAATCTTATCTTTAGTCAATCATACTTAACAAACTTATTATGAATCAAATCTCTACAATGCAATCTTGTTTAATAAGATTATATTTATTTTATCTTGTCTACTCTAAGAAACATGCCCTTAGGGTATCTATACTTATATAATAAGAATTAACATTTATCCAAAATAGTAGGTCAAATTATGGTCAATGTCGGATTTGCATTAAATATTTTCCAAAACTGATAAGTTTTTGTCCTTTTCACACTTCTCATTAATTATGTCTTTTTCACACTTCTCATTAATTATGTCTTTTTCACACTTCTCATTAATTATGTCTTTTTCACACTTCTCATTAATTATGTCATTTTCACACATCTAATTAATTCATTAATTACGACATAATTATCATAAATCATTCCATCTGAGCTTTTATCGTTAAAATGTATAACGATCTGTTGTGACCTTATCTCATTGATATTTTTATGAAGCGTCCTTATCGCGTTCTATTTTTTGGTAACCACTCTATATCATAACCGGATATTTGGTTAATGATAGCACACGTCTTTATTTCAAGGACCGGATATTCTTTGACCTTTAATTAATTTGAACTGATTGCCTTGACTTTTCAATTTTTAAAAACTCTTTTTTTAAAATATTTCGGCTTAAGATTCAGATTTCATTATACAAGTCATCGGATTGTTTGAATGAAAATGAATGAAAATAACACCAAAAACAGGTAGCTTTATTCATATAACCAATCCTAAAATATTAGTTTATTAACCAAAAAGAGACAAATCCTAGAAATCCTAAAATATTAGTTTGTTCACCAATCCTAAAATATTAGTTTGTTCACCAAAAATATTAGTTTGATTTTTAGGATTTGTCTCTTTTGAAAATATTAGTTTGTGATAATGAGGAGTTACCAATAATCAAACTCATAATGTTGTGTACAAGGAGGTTTTTAATAATATATCATTGTTACCGAACTTTTTATGATTCAACAATGTTCCTATGTATTTTAATGATTTCAATTTCGATCCTAATGCACGTGAGGTTATATTATTCTTCCAAATTTTACATTCCGTGCATCGCACGGGTTACGTACTAGTTAGTCTTGTCCCACAAGACATTCACTAGAGCGGTTCGGGTCAAAGGAAAACCGGGTCGGGCTCATGGGTTCAAGAATTGGGTCGATTGCCTCGGTTCTCTCGTGCTCAATGATTCCAAATAAAAACCGGGTACCAAATATTTATACACACTTTAATGTAAAATATTAATATTAGTAACACAAATACAGATAATTTATTTAAATAGTAATAATAATAATAACACTTATGCAATTAGGCATTTAATTGCAATTTGGCAAATAATGGCAATTAGATATTTAATAATAATAATAATAATAATAATAATAATAATAATAATAATAATAATAATAATAATAAATAATACCTGATCCCATAATAATTTATAAACAAACGGGTTTACGAGTCGGCCGGTTTCGACTACCGGTTTCTCGGGCTCAATTTCATAAAATCCGATCGTATACAATGCTCGGAAAATAAAATAAAAAGAATATAATAACAATAGTAATAATGCCGAAATATCCGAAAAATCCATTATTCAAACGAATTATATTCGGTTCACGCGATTAAACCGAAATCGTCGAACGACGAACGTTTTTCAATAAAACGATTGAGTACTCCAACCTTTTATCTAAATCGACATCACGACTAATAAATTAAATATAACCTAATAAATAATATTCGATAAATGAATATATTTCGAGAAATTCTATAAATCGAACGGGTCGCTACACCCGGGGTCTACTAGTGCCTCTTAGCATTTTTGTGCCTATTTTATCATATTGAGATGATAGGTGTTGCATGTCACCGGAAAAAATTCGCCGGAAGGCCGGCATGGGCCGGCCATGGTGACTGGCCGCGCATGCAGCGCGGCAGTGCCCGGCCCCGTGTTTGCCCGTGCCCGCGCCCAGCAGGCGCAAGGTACCGCATCCCCCAATGCACGCGACAGCGCCCAGAAGCGCCTGTCCGTGTCCGCGTGCTTAGTATCCGCGCCAGTCGCGCCCAGCTAGTGCCGACAGCGCCCGACAGCGCTGTCCCGTGTCAGTGCACGCGTAGTTTCGAGCCAGTCGCTCGTGCCACGCAGTGCCGACAGTGTCCGACAGCACTGTCCCGTGTCAGTGCACGCGTAGTCTCGAGCCAGTCGTTCGTGCCGTGAGGAGTAAGGTCTCGAACCGCGCCAGCAGCATGCCCGAGCGCTCAGTGTCGTGCCCAGAGTGAACCCGAGTCGTGTTCCCTTGCTTCAGTTGGCCCCGAGATGTGCCCAGCACCGAACGCCCGGGGGCGGTCTGGCCAGTCAGCGAACTGGCCGGTTCGACCGGCGGTTCGAGTCCGTTTTGATTCGTGACTACCGGTTCGAGTCTTCTTCCAGAATTTTAGTATTTTTTCGAGCCTAACCAGTCTAGCTTAAGCGATTGGATAGAACCGAGCATTTTAGCATATCATTAAACATTCCGAACATGATACTTAGCATTATTTTGCTTATATGTTTATGTAGCCTAAGGAGAGTCGAGCCTCCGACCGCTACTTCAATTTCAAGCACGTGCGTCAGATTTTCAGTTACCAGGTGGGGGTCATGTACTGGAATCTACATCATTTATAACATTTGTACCATGACTGAGGTATGTTCGAGACAGGTATATCTCCCAGGATTGGAGGCCGAGGGCCTTAATATTCCACCTGGTGCCCGATGGAGGCCAAGGGCCTCAATATCCCAATCATGGCGTGCACACGAGCGGCCAAGGGGCGAGGGTCTTTTGACCACAGTACAGAAAGAAAGAAAAGTTTACAGTTTAAGCTATTATATATTAATGCTCATGATATGTTATTATTAATGTTGTTTTATTCAGTACTGGTCTTTGCGGAGCATAGTGGTTTGCTTACGCCCCCATTGTGTTTTTCAGGTGATGGAGTCAAGCGTGCCGGGTGAACATATGCGTGGCAAAGCGTGGTCATGATACTCGAGGACATTTTTACCTGCATTTTATGTCCTAGTTTTTATGATCATGTGTTATTCGGATATGTATGTATGTATTATGTATTTCGGATATGCTTCCACTAGCCAGGCTTAGACTGTGCGAGACATTCAGACATTGCATGTGTGATTCCATTATCCGTAGCGGATCGATTGGTTGCATGTTTTTTATTTATGTCGGTGAGCAAGTTAAGTTTTTACCTGTGACATCCCGCAACAAGTTAGTATTTTCAAAAACCAGCTCGCACTATCTTTTGAAATAAAAGCGAATATTTTACTCTGATTTTTGAAAGCTAAGTAAGGCGGGGTGTGACAATTTCCTCCCTCCACCACTTCACGAGGGCGCACCGGACGCACGATCTCAATAAGCCCCCACTTGGTTCTTGTATTTCCAAACGCAACATGCTGAAGAGATTAGATCCCTCAACAAGAGGCTCGATATCTTCATTGAGCATAATGATGATCGTTGGACGGAGAACAATGCCCTGCTGCGTAAGTACATCGAGGGCAATAATTCGCGATGGGCACAACACAATGAACGCTAGACCCAGTGGTAGACAAAAGCATTTGATCAGTGGAATCAATGGGACAACGTGTTCCAGCAATGGGACGCTCGCTTGAGTTCAGGCACCAGCCTACCCTCCCACCCATCCTCCCCCCCACCTCCATCTCCACCTCCTCCACCAAATGCACAGTGACTTGTAACTGTGTTTGGTTTGTGTTTTGGAATCGACATTTGGATTTTCAGTTTTTTTTTCTTCTATTGCAATGTGGATTTGATTCATGATTTGGTATGTGTTTTGGAATCGACATTTAGATTTGGCAAAGACTTTTGTTTTGGCTATGACTTTGATGTGTTTGATTGATATGATTCTTGTGTTGATTTTGAAAAATGTCATCGCTCGTCTAGTCCACGGAAATAACCATAACGAGAGACGTTGGTTATGGTTTTCAACATAACGAATGTACATTCATTATTTCATACATCATAATGAATGTACATTCGTTATGGTTATTTTTCGATCAAAGACAACTATAACGATTATACCTTCATTATATAATAAATTATGAATATACTACTCCCGTTATAGGTATAATTTGTCATTTTCAATGTAAAATAACGAATGTACAATGATTCTACATTATCTATCCATTAAAAAAAAAAAAAAAAGCATCGTTATTTCACAAAAAGAGTTTCGTTATGAATATTTCGACGCTATAACGTGTCTAAACTATCCAATGTGATATATGACCAAGATACATTCGTTAACACATCATGCCATTAAAAAAACAATAACAAATGTGCAGCCCAGAACGTCGCGGCCGCGATAGGTGTCGCGGCGCGACGTTGACACGGACAGAAACCTTGCCAGAGGTGTCGCTGGCGCGACGCATAGAGGGAAAGAAAGCCTCCCAGACCGTCGTAGGCGCAACGCATGGATGGACATAAAGCTTGCCAAGACGTCGCGGGCGCGACACTGACAGGGACAGAACCCTTGACATGATGTCGCGGGCGCGACACTGGCAGGGACAGAACCCTTGCCAGGATGTCGTGGGCGCGACACTGGGTTTTATATAATTTTTTTTAAATTAAAAAATAAACATTAATACAAGGTTCCTCGGCTTAATTCCGGGATTTCAGCATCGAACTCCTTCAATCGGATTGCGAAGGGCTGATAAAATGCTATTATATTGAAGGTACATTCATTATGTAATGTATTATTTTATCTACAGGACCGAAATTATAGCTATAACAACGTACTACCTATATTATATAATACATTATACCGTGACTACAGTCATTCCGAAATTTCTATAACAGCTGTTCAAGAAATTCATTAGGTGAATTAAATGCCCGTAATACATTAGGCAAATACGTGAAATAACAATAAACCAGTCAAAAAACAACTTAAAAACTTAACAACTCGTTTCATTGCACTGAAAAACACATAAAAAATAATACAACAGTCAAAATGTGATATCCCAAACATCCCTAAAAGCCATTGAATATTCAACTCCTAAAACAAACTAAGGATCAAAATATTGTGCAAAAATTTCAGCTGCTAATTTGATACGCCAAGAGGGAATCCTTTTTTGCTCTAGACCTTTAATATCCTTCCTAGCATGCAAAAACTCGATGAATTTGATTCTAAACATCCCACAGTCAAACCTGTAATATAAATGTACAATATCTATTAGTTTACCAAGTTTGATAATACACTTATAACATGATATGATGAAAATATATGTTATACGTACCCATTTCTTGGCTAGGACAATGTAATCGTTTCAAATCAAATGTTTTTGCACTGTAGGTAGCATTCAGCATCCTCATTACCATCGGTACGACAACTCGAATGGGCTCCAGTTCCATATCAAATTGTCGCTTCCGCATGATAGTTGTTGAACTATCATATGCTTAAATGCATCTTTCAGAGAGATCAATATCAAGTGCCACCTAATGGTCATTCTTCTCATTGCAAAAGGGAACGTACAATTTTGTGCAACTAGTCCACGGCTTTCCATGAGTGGGTACTTTCCCTCTGGCGTAATTAACTAATGCCTTTTGAAAATTTATCGTATCAAAGCTTTGGGCTTTTGACCCCTCTTTAAAGAACATTCTCACATAAGAGACGAAATGCGGGTCCACGATGATACAATCTTGTCTAAACAAGAGAGGGTACTCTATCGCACGATCTCAAATGTGAAAAAGGGCTGCACCTACATGCCAAGAGTATATAATGTTTATTAGATTAGTAAATATCATGTTTAGAGAGAAAAATATAGGAAAAAAATTAATAGTTTACCTCACTAGAAAGCCATTCATCATTCAGAAGGTCATTAAAAATTCTCTCTGTGCTCTACCCCTACCCCCAAAGTACGTCAATTTCATCACTACATAAAAAATCAGTAAATTAAACAAAGACACACAACCTTATATATTAGAATAAGTAGCCCACAATTAACTTAACACAAATACATACCTTTAAGGGGAGCTCGATAACCACACCTTTAAATCTTCACATTTAGCTTCATCCAGTGTCCTATACAGGTCGTACTCCGTCACAGATGGAATTTTTTGTCTTTTTTCGGGATTCCTCCACGGAGTAAGTAGAACGGCGGCCTTTCTTTTCTTCCGGTACCCTCTTCCCTTAGGAGACCCAGGTGCATCATCTTCATCGGTTTTCTCGACCTCCGTAGGTCCGCAGAGTTGTCTTTCTTGGAACACAACGATGGTTGATGACGGGTCGGTCACAACACCTACAATAGGCAAGAAAACAATCAATACTCATTTATTAACAAGAATGCACTATCAAATTACGTATAATTACAATTACATTTTACATACCGGTATCAAATTCATGTTCATTCTTCTTTGGTGAGACAACCTTCTCAGAAATATTGTCTTCAACCAAGACAACATTATCTTTTGCCCTCATCTGCAAGCCCACGTCATCATGAACTCCCACCATTTGTTTCTCGGGCATGGGAGATGGTGAATTGATCGTGTCTGCAAAAGAAAAAAATTATTATATAATTCAACAATATGTTGCATTTGTTTTAAAATATATTTTTATGTAAAAAAATATTACAATAACTTGTTCTATTTATTTTTTTTAATAATAGAGTAATAACATTAATATGATGCATTTATTTTAAAAAAATACCTTCAACACCATCTACTGTTCGATCCCGCTGGTTACTCTCTGGATCAACCTCTTCATCAACATTTGTCCCGTCATAAGTAGCACGGGTAGATGGAATATCTTTTGATTGAAAAACAAAATTTTTTATTCGGTAAAAAAATTTTGTCCATCTTCATCTCCAATCGTTCAGAAAATAATCTCATCTCATCCTTCACAACTTCCCTAACTATAGCTAAAATCTTTTCAGCATAAAAAACTTGCGGTTGTGGTGGATCAGATTGAGATGCATCATTTTTTTCTTCATCCTCTCCCTCCACTTCTTCATCATCCTCATCCTCGTTTTTTTTTCTTCTTCTTCCTCATCTTCAGGGACACTTTCTTCTTCCTCTATTATACCGAATTCCTTCAAGTATGAACTTTGAACTTCATCACTTGAAGGTTGTAACGTTCGTCGAACTTCAACCTGATTGTAATATAATTAGTTTTTTCAAAACTATAAGAATAATTAAGATGAATTATCCATAACAAAAATTACCTCCGACGTGTTGAAAAACGTAGTAAGATGCTCGCTTCGCCACTGTTTATTCATTTTCCACGACATCATTCTCGGAAGTCTCCCACTACCACAAGTTTCAGCAAATTTTCTTCCAAGCTCAGGCAGTGCCTCAAATGCCGAAACCTACTTAGTAAACAACAAAACAAAATTAAGAATACAACTAACATAAATAAATAAAAAAAAGCATAAATATATATTTATATGAAAAATACCATGATAGCTAGAGGAAATTCATGCAGAGAATACTTTATTGCATCTGTATTTTATTTATTACCGAAACTCTTCCGCTTGAACAACTTTACGGTGTACTCGTACGACAAGTTCCCCCAAGGATAGGTATCGAACTCCTCTAAATTCTCAACAAGATGAAACCATTTTTCATCCACAAGAGTCCGGCACTCGTTAGACAAAACCACATGCTCAAAGACCATCAGAAGCCCCAATTTGTATTTCAAATCTTCATCTCCCTCCTTCTTTACCAAATCATCAAATTGATTGAGCAAGTCTTTCTTTGTTATCTTCCCTCGCTTCCCTTTGAATAAATTCAAAAGAGAACTACTTCTTTTCGGGACCTCGTACGAAGCCACATTATCTACAATCTTTAATTCGCTTACAAGAAAAAATTCTTGTAACCCGAATCTAGCTTCTTTTTCTCCAAATTTGAACCACACGACATCCTTTTCGTTCTCGGATGATTTCAAGGTCCTCTGAAGAAGGTGGTGGATTATTTGGGACGAAAACTTCAAATCGGGAATGTGCACTAGCGACCGGAAGCAAGATTCCACAAATAAATCTTTATGTTCATCATCTAGATTCTTAAATACATGATTGGCAACCTTGAGGTTGCACCTATTCGTCACGACTCCTAAGCATGTCGAAGGTATGTCGAACGCATACTCCATTTTCGTTCCCAAAAGCAGAGAAGAAAGACAACATGTCATAAAACGATAATTGTGTAGTAGAAAATTCAAATCCAACGGTTCTGTAACAATATTAAGAAATTAAGAAGTACAACATGCGTTATATTTTCAAATTAACAAGTACAACATTCATTACATCAATCACACACACATTCGTTATGTTTTTCAACATAACCAATGTACATTCGTTATGGTTATTTTTAGATCGAATACAACTATAACGATTCTACCTTCGTTATGAGCATTTCGACACTATAACGAGTTTAAAATATCTTCCTAATGTCATATATAACGAAGATAGACTAGTTAACATGTCATTTCATCAAAACCATAACGAGAGTACATTCGTTATAATTTCAGCATAACGAATGTACATTCGTTATGGTTATATTTCCATCCTGGTCGATTAAATACACTTATACCTTCGCTATATAATACATAATAATAATATTTTACTCATTATAGATACAATTTAAGTCATTTTTAATGGCTTCTATCAATTTCTAAAACGAAACAAGTATCGTTATCTCATAAAATGAGTTTCGTTATAATTATTGCGATACTATAACTGAGGAGTTCGATGCATTCACAGTTCAATACTAGTTTTCTTACAAAATACGACCTAACGTGTATTTGATTTTTGAGTTTTTGATGAGTGCAATAGCCAACAACAACAGAGTTGCAAACAAAATAACAAGACAATATTCACCCAGACATTTAAGTACCAAACGAAGCACAAAGACATACTCTACACAGAAATCAATGATGAAGGAACTATTTGAATACTCTACTCAGCCACATAATGAGTTTCTCAAGCCACCACAATGAACCATGTCAAAACCTTTATGCACACAAAAAATTAGCAAAACCAGATGAATTCACATAACACAAGCAAAATCTTGTTCCACGAATTTCAAAAGCCCAAACACATAGAAATTAATTAAAAAAAAAAAACCAAAAAAAGAATTGTACTCTAGAAAAAATCCTTACCGAAATTGACGGTGAGAGAGAGGTCCATAGTGATAGTGCGCGAGAGAAGCAGGTTGGACGGAAGGAAAAAGAGAGGGCGAGATGCAAATTTCGAGAGAGGAGGTCGAGAGGGCGACGGTCGCGAGCTTGGGTGAGGAAGGAACGCGAGCATGAAAATTGAAAGAAGAATAGGAAGAATAGGAAGAAGAAAGGAAGAAAAAAAGTTTTTGTGTTAAGGGTATATTAGTAAATTTCTATTTAATATGATTACTTATTAAGTTTTATTGTACAAAATTAGTCAAGGGTCATTTACAAAATTTGTTGTCTGCAGAGGGTCATGCTGACCAATTTCCACTGAAGGCTGGGATTGATCGATTTGATGATGATGGAGAGCTGGATTAATCAGCGACTGAAATCCTCTCCGGCTAAGGTGCGATGGGACTGAATAAATCGAAGGAGGAGGGTGATGGGATTTTCTCTGAATTTCTTCCTATGTCTGTCGAGAAGGTTTGAAGAGAGAAAGAAAAAGACGATCTGATTTATTTGAAACGAGGGATAGGGTTCTGAAATATGCTACTGACGACGCGAGAGAGAAAAGAAATTAGGCAATAATCTTACAAAGTTGGGCCAATATATCTACTTACAATTGGGCCGATTTAATATCAAGGTTTGGGCCAAATACAAGACCTTAAGGGCCGGTTCTTAATTGCTAAGAGGCCCGGTAATAATAATATAAAGGCTAATATGGATCTAGTTAAATTCTAAGGAATCAAGAAACGATAAATATTGCCGAAACCCAAATTGGGTTAAAACTGTTTTGGCGGTTATTGATAAAATAAATCGAATAAAATCAAATAGCTAACGAATATTTGATAATTCGAATATTTTAAATAGGCTAACTCATCTAAATAAAATATCTACTTACCGTTTTAAATAGACACTAACGTTTAATTAATCCAAAGAAATGGTTTGAGCATAGATAATAAAATGTAGTTGTTGCATAAATAAATAAAATAATTCATAAAAATCTATAATTCGAACGGGCCACTACAAGATGCATATTAAAACCTAGTCAATGAGAACCAGGAGTAGGGTCTGGATGTCGTGTTCATGTTGTTGGTCAACCCCGGGGAGTTATAGGAAATCTGAGGCGAAACACTGTCGCAACTCTCGATGCTGGCGAATCCTCGAGAAAGACAATAGTTATCAAATCTTTTGCGAAATTTTTTCCAACAAAAGAATCCGATGTTATTCTTAGGGCAGATAGTCCGATCCTACACTGCGTGAATATTCTATGTCATGAAGCGAGACGACAAAAATTATTTTCCGTGTATCAAGTCGAGAATGATGCCGCGTGTTGAGGATTAGGAAGGATCTTTTAAGGAGGGTAGTCGAGCATGGTACAAGCGCATCGTGAGGTGCAGAGCCGTCGTTATTCTTGAATTGTATTAGTCATAGTCTTTGAAACCTCTCTTTCTTTTTATTTACTTTCGGAGTTTTGAGAGTAATCTCTTGTATTTCTTGGACTTTTGCAATCCTTTGAAAACTCTTGTTTGTTTTTTGTCCATTAGGAATTTTGAGTTCAAGTTTTGCAACCTTGTGTATTAATTTAGACGAGTACCTTCAGTTTTCTACTTGGCTTATATCATTCTTTAGGTTGTGGTTATGCCATTCGAACTAGGTATTCCATTCATATCCGAATCAGCTTTTCATTGTATTTATTGATGACGTCTTGATCTATTTTCGAGGCGCGATCGAGATGAATCAACGAACTGGCGACGAAGGGTGATCAACTGCTACCAAAGAGTTAGGACGAGTTCGACCAACGAAAGTAATTGGTGTATTCTCGGAGATCGATTCGAAAACTAGCTACCACCAGCGGAAAATAAAAGAGGGTCTAATGTACCAAGGAGGCTTTACGATGAGATCCAGGAACTTGAAAATCTTAGCAGGATAGAAGTTGAACTCGTTTAGGACTGCAGACACGATTAGCTACTGAGAAAGAGCGCACGTGACGGCCGACACTTTTAGTCAGAAGAGTTAAGCGAGCTAACCATTCATTGTTCGGCAATGACTGCTGGGTTGGGATTATTCCTGGTTGAAGAGCTGATATTCTTTCTCTTTCAGAATGTTTCCCTATCCCTATCGTTATATGTTCGTTTGAGATTGTATTAAACGGGAAAGAGGTGGTGGACTTCGAACTCGATTTTATGCCTTGTAATGATTTGAAGCCCTTGAAACTTTAGAGATTGTTTAACACTTAAATACCATGGGAAATTGTCTATGTTGAACCAAATTTTTGTTGTTTTGAAAGTTTTGTGAAAACCTTTTCTTTCAGGTTACCTTGGAAATTATGAACCCTGAATTAGAGAATTCCTTATTTGTACCTCGAATGAAACGCCGACCTTGGCTGGGTGGAGTCACGCAAAGTGGTGGTCGAGCACGCACGTCCGTGCTGAGAGACGTGAGGCCAACTGCAGGGCCGACCGTTGACTCGCACGAGAGCTGTAGCCACCATCACCGAACGCAGGAACGCCCTAAGCCAGTGTGTACCACCAAACCTCGACCTTGCAGCTGGTCTCCGAACAGGTGCACACACACGTCCCAGCGCCTCGCTTATGCAGCGCCAGCGAGTGTGCCACCTCTTGGGTGACAGTGCACTAACCCCGAACCATTGATTCCTTTTCGATTTGTACGATTGGTTTTCGTGTCAAACAATACATTCCCCTTTTTTACCTTCTTCCGAGCATTGAACCGAGAGCTCCAAGTTCCACCAGACCGATATATGAATTCCCTAACTAATAAATCTTCGAATAAGTGAGACTTGTCGATTAGTATTCTTATGCCATATGCGAAATTTTTTCTCGAGTTGGCAAGATTGAGGGCGGAGTCTTGAGTCTCGATTGGAGACTATGTATACTTCGCAGGGATTGAGTCTACGAAAAGGGAGAGTGTAATGGAGTTAGACCATTAGTATGGGGTACCGTGTCGACCGTTCCAACGGAGACACACGCGTTATGATGGGATAGTGGGCAAGTTTTCAGCGTGATCCGGGCACGATACTGAAGCTTGATTCCATAAATCGACCCCATTGTGGGATGATCGTAGCATGTTGTCAATGCACCGGAAGACCGATGGAGTCTTGTGTGTTGATAGAGGTGATGCGAGTATTGGTACGAAGAAAAGGGAGTCGCCATTGTGCGATAATATCATTTTGGAGTCTCGATCGAGTCGATGACCTAGCCTTACAGTTGGCTTTACTGCCAGGGCTTTCGGGGCTGCACGGCACGTCGTACACATCAAGTGGAGGAGTTGTGTGCAAGTTCCCGGGGGACACAAAGTAACTTTGACGAGCTGCGTTATGGGCAGAACCTAACCTATGATGAGGTACCGGTGTCCGTGTTGGGACGGAGGGCCCAACAGTCGAGGAACCGGTTATGGTACTCGTCAAAGTCTAAGAGGAGCCGTTTTGGCAAGGGTGATGTGACTCGAGTCAGCGAGGATGAGTTATTGGAGTAGTATCCGAATCTCGGAGTTTGCAATTCCTCCGTGTATGTGTATTTCCTATGAGTTGTCAATTCTTGTGGAATTTCCGAGTACGGAAATCTTTTAAGGAGGGTAGATTGTAGTGTCCCATTCGTTTATAAGAGTCAATGTATTTTATGTGAACTTTATTGCTTTTAATAGCTCGACTAAGTTATAATCCCGGTTTTAATCCAAGTCCTTTAATCAAAATGAGAATTAAGTAGATGTCATCGTCTATTTAATTTTCGAAAAAATTTTAATAATTTTATCTAATCGAAAATATAGATTAAGGAGATGTCCTAGTCTTCTTAATTATTCTTGTTGGTTTATTGTTCTTATTTATTTTCCTAGTGTTCTTATGAGAATTATATGCTCAAGTGTATTAGGTGCCTAATTTGTATGTATATGCTAAGTGTGTACTCGTTTTTCCCTTAGTGTTTAATTATTTACCTAAGTCTTTGTATCTTGTGCTTCGAATATGGCTAAGCCCTAAAGCCTAACATCATTTTAGGCCCACACGTCACTTAGGCCCAAGAAAACCAGCGCACCTCCCTCATTTGAGTCGAATCTCTCACTTAGAACGGTCTTCTTCCCCGAACGAATTTTCCCTTTTCTCTCGGTCATCCATCTGCCACATCAGTGACCACGTCGCCATAGCCAACGACCTCCATGGAATCCGGCCCCTCATTACATTAATTCTCTCAGTATTTAAACCAACAAGAGAGATTATCAGTTGAAAACCCTTTTATTTCCCTCAATTTCACAAAACCGCGAGCAATTCCGAGAGCCAGCATTTTCCCGATCAGGCCTCGCAGAGGCGAACCTATAGAAATCCGGCGAGTTCCATGCACGCGGCTGAGACGAGCAACAGAGGACGAAGAGCTCGAGTTTTCGGCGACCCAAAGCTTCAGTTTCCGTCGGCTGAAGAAATCCGACGAGTTCCAGGCGCGGCTGACGACCGCCGTCCATTCACGGCGAGTTGAGCACCACCGGACCAAGAGTACCAGATTCCTGGCGTTGTTGAGAGCATACCGGGCCACGAACGATGAGAGCAGACAGCCGCGACGGGAGCGAGTCTCTGAGGACCAAGCAGCGACGCGGCTGACGGGCAGACTTCCAATGGCAAGGTGAGACTAGGCGCGATTATCGAGAGCCGACACTTCGTGGCGAGACGAGTACAACCGGGTGCGGATAGAAGGCCTCCATTGCGTCTGAGAGCAGGCCCTTTAGTCGCGGCAGAAGCCCATTTTTCCGAAAAGCGGCGGCAGTCCCTTTCGGCCCGTATGAGAGTAGCGGTAGTCGTTCGAGGCTTTAATCGAGCAGTCGGGGTCCTCGAACTTTGGCATCGATTAGTAGTAGTCCCGTTTCCATTCAGCGAGCATCAGAAATCGGCCTTTTCAGCCCATCGGCGAGCGACCCTCCTGCTGGAAGTTCACACGAGCAACCCCTTTCAGCCCCGATCGTGTTCTCGGGCAGCTTGCAAGTTCCGTTCGCGTTTGGTGGCGACAAAGCTGAGAGCCGAGCTTCATACGATCAGTACCCAAGACCCGTCCAGTCGTGTCAGGCCCCTTTAGTCAAGAAAGCCTCAGCCGAGGTCCTTTTCACACCCCGTGTCTTTCGTCCTTTACCTGTCCCGACGAGAGGTATTAAGAACTGAACCTTTTAGCATTCTAATGGCCGAAATCTTATGCTGTTATGTGCTGAATTTCGGTTTGAAAATCATGTTTTTATTCGGTTTAACTTTGAGAAAAGGGAGCATTATTTGAGGTGTTTAAGTTAGGTGTTTTCTTCATGCTTTGCTTGTATTGTTGTTATGAGATTGAGCAGATCATAATATGGTGCTGAGTGTGTTTGTTATGTTAAGGTTTCAGCCTCAGTTTCATTTTTCTGCTAAGTTAAGTGTTAGAATAATATTGCAGAGTTTTGGGCTGCCTATGTGTTATATGTGGTCGTGTTTGATCTTTGAATTTGCTGGTATTATTCATGTGTATAACATGCTGTTTTGAGAGACTTTTCAGAGGGTTACGTTCGGGATTTAAGGCCTTTTAGTTGCTGTTTAAATTTTAAGAAAAGAAGAAAATGAGAAGGGCATGTGTAACTTAGTTGTTTTATGAAGAGGAAAATGAGATATGCTTACGTGTTGTTGGCTTGAGTCTTGCAGTCTGTTTTTGCGAAGTCCTCCATGAGTTATATATGCCTAAACACAGTTTTTTATGTAGAAGTTAAGAAGCATGAGTGCCTTATTGTGTATTATGTTGACTTATGTTAAGCATGTTTTGCTGGACCTTGTTATTGGTCATATCATGTTGTAAAATGTTACTTCATAAGTTTAAGTATCAACTTACTGTAGCATTAGTAAGTTGTTGAAGGTTGCTTTTGATATTTTGAGAGAGGTGGAAGAGTTCATGTCGTCCTATGCCATGCTTTTGTTTTAATTTCTGAGCCTTGTTGATGCATTTATATGTTGTAGTATGTGTTGTGGCTTTTGATTGTGGCTCTAAGGTGTACTTGAAAGACGAGACAGAAAAGAGAAGGCTATGTCATAAGTATTTGTATACTTTAATTGAATGCTTATGTGTTGTACCTTATGTGTATGATAATTTTGACCTTTGATTGATCCTGTTGAGCCTTTTTATGCGGTTTAGTGGTGGAATGTGCTTTACATGCTTGTGTGGTCTAATAAACCCAATCAAACCCTTAATAATAATTAAATCCTTAATTGTTAGGTTTCCGAGGAGTCGAGCCCTCGAAACTACCGTGAGCACTTGCATTTGACATTTCCGAACATCAAGTGGGTTTATTTAAATATCTATGCGGTAAATTGTCTATATTTTGCTGGACGGTATGATCAATGTATGTGTGTGAACCATGTGGCCTGTCGATGTGTGCTGTTTCGGTCGTCGACACGGTTGTCCCCGTCGATGTAAAGGCAATCTCCCTAAGACCTAATGAAAGGTCATGTCGTTGGTAATATTGAGGCCTTCGACATGTACTCCCAGTCTCCCACCGTTGGGTAATGAATCCCCTTCCGTGGCTAATGAAAGATATGTACATATGAGTATGATGTGATTTAGAGATGTGATATTTGATTGATTCATGTTCATGCTGCGACCATACCTATCTGTCATATATATTCTGTTTATTTGCATATATTCTGTTGAACTTATTTTATTTTCAGACTATGATGTTTTGAAATTATGGATTATGTTTTGGGCATAACGGATTTATTTGAACCTTATGAGCTGGTTTAAGTTTTATGAAAATTGATGAATTGGTTTTATGTTGACATGCCTATGATGTGATGACTATGTTTTGTGAATGGATAATGAAATCCTTGTGAAAACCGGGTAATGAATCCCCGTGAGTTCTGACTTGAACTATGTTTTGAAACGCCGTAAATGTTTTAAATCAATATCTATATATATATATATATAATAGACCAATCCTTATTGTCATAATTGGTATGATTTTCGGCCGAAAATTTTTTCGTCTATATATGGCATTTAATTAATATTTATTTATTAGAAAATCTTATGCATAAAAAACATAATTAATTTTTATACATTCAGTGATTATTACTCATTAACTACATATAGACTGAAATTGAAATTTTGGCTGTAAATTTATTAGATACTAGTTTTTGTCCCGTGCATTTGCACGGAAAACTATATGATACATGAAAAAATAATAAAAATTATAAACAATAGTAAAAATTATAACAAATTCATTGAAAAAAATTAAGAAAAAAAATATAAATATTCTTAAACACTTCTTTATAAAACAACGTTGTGGTTTTTCTATCGTCGAAATCTCCCTCAGCTCAAATCAAAATCTTGAAACCCCACTGACTCGTAACTCTAAAAAACGCCACGTATAATTGCTCATGACTAAATGCAGAGCTCTTCAGTAGTAAGCCGACGTTCGACAGAGACTGTCTTTGACTCTTATTGATCATGTCATAACATAGGAAACACTTTTTTATATTGTTTGTCCTCGACTCTTATTGATTGATAGAGATTGTCCTTGCTTCTTAATAAAAAAATACCATCTAAATATAAATGAGTAAATATAATATTAATTTTTTATATAAACAAAAAATTTAAAGTAATTGATAATGAGTATAGAATTACCCTTGCGGATTCAAGTTATTTCAACGATGTTCTTTTTATATATCTAAGATTTAATTTTTCTCTGATTTATATGAATATAAGCACATTTGACTAATTTTTATAAATTTTATTGAAAAAAGTTACTATTTTTTTGAAAAACTGATAAGATATTAAGATAATACTGTACTTAACATAAATGTAGGATTAATTAAAATAAATCTTTTTAATTTAGTCATTAATTAATTAAATTTAACTATAAAAAATCTTCTTAAATGTGAGATTAATGAGTAATTAATTAAAAAAATGTAACTCCTTTTGGAGGGAAAGTGAAAATATTTTTATTAAATGTTTTATTAAATGAGATTAGCTAGCAATTATATATATATATAGATTTCGAAACAGTAATTATCTCAACTTTTGGAATTGTAATTTGATAATTATAATTAATTGTTTTAGTTGATCTTTAATTTTGTTATTTTTGCAGGAATTGACCGGAGATGGAGCATCTGATTTTTTATTTTATTTTAAATTTATTTTTTTGGTTAGTTGTATTTGTTAATAATTAATTTTTTTATTTATTTTCATTAATTTCGTTTAGTTTACTATGCATAGAAAAAATAATTTCGATTAAAAAAATAATTAATGAGAACTGTTGAGAGTAATTAATATGTTTAAAAAAATATGGAAACATTTTCATTTTCATTAACTCGTTATAATTGCAGAATTAATTGGTTGTCATTTTTAAAACACTCAACTTTTCAAGAAAATTGAGTTGTTTTTAATAAAGAAAATAAAAAATAAAAACAAATGAAAAGTAACGGAAATTGGCGGGAAAATGCCACCTAGGTATAATTTATGAGGTTTAATTAAATGCAGAAGAGCTAGTAATTATATATATATAGATATTTTCAATAAGATCTTATATTAAATTTAATAATAATTTATTGGCACAATTCAAAAATTATTATGGAAATTGATTTGATTAAATATATTATTATCTATGGTTGTAGGTATTAATTTAATTAATTATTCACTATTCAGAAGTACTTAAGATGTTAATAAAATAATCAGAATAACTATGTTTAAATCGTATTAACTTAATAAATAATTTAAAATATTAATAAAAGTTTCTAAAATGTAGTCAATTTAACTATAAAAAGGTACATCCGCATTGAATATATCATATGCAATGATAATACTATTAAAAATTTAAATAATATACTAATAAAAATAAAATTTGATGGTCGGGTACAATTCAGAATTATAAATTTCACTTTAGAAGAATATATGTACATAAACAAAAATATTCAATTTTAAAATATTTTTTTTTTCTTATTTCATAAATGAAAAAGAAGTTAATAAAAAAGCAATGTATAATAATTTAAATTTTAGCACTTGGTATATATGAAAATATATAATATATCTAAATATTTGAATAAATACGATGTAACTCATTATATATGTTGAAAAAATGAATAAAAGAAATAAATATAAATAAAAAATAAAAATGTAAAAATAAAATATTTAACTATAAAAAATTTGTGTGTTGCATAAGGATTAAAGTTACTAATAATTAAAATTTATTTATAGAAATTTTTAACATTTAATACACTTAATAATTAAAGCGGAAAATAAATATTATGGGTGAAACGTTGGTCAATTATCAAACAATGTGCTATGAATTGTTAAAAAAATTATAAGATATGATAAACGACAATTTTATAGGCACATACAAGTAAAAATTGTATGCAAATATCATATGATCTTATACATTTATAAAATTTTATAAACTTATAAGTAATAAAATAATTGTCAAAAACTATAAAAAAAAATACATAGAAATAGAAATGAACAATAATAGTAAATAAATAAATGTCATATTATTACTGAATAGATTACTGTGGAGAATATAATTTAATATTTTTTTAAGATATCTACAAATATTTGACAAAAAAATCTGACCAAATCTTTAAGTCATTAAAAAAAAATCAAATTGTAGAAATAGATAAGTCCAAATTGGGTGAAATCAATAAATAAAATCTCAAAAAATTCGAATTGCATACTGGGCGGGCATATTCAATTTTTTTTTAACGAAAGATTACTCATTATAGTAAAGATTTAGCCGGGTATTAAAATGGTTTTTCTTGATTTTTTCTTGCTATTTAAGGTGAATATCATTCTCTCTTTATATATTAATAGATAGATACATTGCCTCTTTATATGTATTAATAATTAATAATAGATTATGTACAGAAATATCAATTTTTCTATGTCCATTCGGCAGCCTTATATCTGTACATTATTTTATCCGATTCAAACATCTTTATTTTTATTTTCAGAAGTCAAATCTCTTTCCCCTTCCCTCTCGAACTCTAGAGATCTAGAGGGAGTCGAGAAGGAGAAATCGGTTAGAATGGCATCCAGATGCGAGATCCTCTGTGAGATCCTGCTCGCAATTTTCCTCCCTCCTCTCGGCGTTTGCCTCCGCCATGGCTGCTGCACCGTTAGAGCTCATTCCACATAAGCACAACAGCTTTTTTTTTTTTTTTTTAAGGAAATTACGTGCCTAACTCTGTGAATCATCAATTTGGCAGGTCGAATTTTTCATCTGCTTGGTCTTGACGATATTAGGTTACGTCCCTGGTATAATTTACGCCCTCTACGCCATCGTCTTCATCGATCGCGACAGGTTCCGTGGGGATTATTACCAGCTGGCCTAGTACTTATTTCTTAGCCCTCTTGTGTGTATACCTCTCTCATCTACCCACGCTATTATTCATATGTGTTGGTTTGGGAATGGTTTTTCATGAAATTGTTTTGTTTTCTAATGGTTGTGGTGAAGGCATAGTTCTTTATTTGGTTATAAAATTTGGTTAATCAGTATGTTCCCAATTTGTTTTGTTTCTTTTGGATGAGCCGATTATGTTTCTAATAAGTGGGTTCATGAAGTTGGTTACGATTTGCAAGGATAAATTTTGTCTTTGATCTATTTATTATTTTTGTGATTTGGTGAAATGCTCAACAGTTTTTACTTTTCAGTGAAATGCATAAATTTAGGTCATGCCTGTTGTTTAACATGCTTTCCTGTGTGACTAACCTAATTCTGAATAATTAATATAGTTAATCCTAGGGAAATAATGGGAATCAAGTTTAACAATTTGAGATATTGTTGTTTCATCTTGAGATGGAGAAAACTTAATTTTAATCTCGAAGGGTTCCTACTTGCTCTATCAGATAATCCTGAATAAGTGGATCATATAGTTGTATGGATACACTTGCTGAGTACTTAATGGAATATCAAGAAAGATGAAATTTTGATAACAAATTTTTAAAATCTTTGGTGACTGGAGAGAAAGCACACCGTGGAAGATGGGTAAACATTAGGAGTGCATGCGGCCTCGGCCCTAATTTTGGATCTACAATTTGATGCCTCATTTGTTCACCTCTTATTTAAATGATTTTGTGAAACATTACACAGAAAACTGGATCTGTATACTTGCATTTGATACACAGGCATGTGTGCCAAGGTTCCTCCATATCTTTATATTCTTCAGATATGGTTAGTGGTAGGAGAATATTATGACCCTCAACAAACGAACTAGGGCAGCATTACATGTAACAGACACCCAATTAATATACTACAATCTTTTCAATTTCTGTTGATCAGCACAGAAGCATTTAAATGAGAATGTCAAATTGTTCATATGCATCTGTGGTTTATTTAATAGCTCCAGCTGTTAGAATGTGTGTAGCTCCTTTAGAAAACTGGGACATCCAAATGGTATTTTTGGGAATCCAGATAGGATTAATAGCATGATGGGTCTCAACAGTTATTGGGTTAGAAAAAGTCCCACTGAATCCTAATATGACAACAATGTACAATGTTTGGCAAATTTTTATTTATACCACATGATTTTGGAAAAAAATTATAATTTTACCATGGTGCAAACTTTATTTGGATCTTTCCAATTTCATGCCAATTAATTATAAATATACACCAAATTATGGATTTTTCAGTTACCAAATAAAGTGTAACCGTTGATCGTGGGTTTTCAGTTCTCAGGTTTTTTGAATAGACAATATATATTGCGTTTATAGTCAGTATATATTCAGTATATTACCTGATTTTTTCTTTACATAACATTTTTCTCTAACCACAATTGTGATATTTGGATTTTTGTTCAGTATATAACCTATCATATACATATTATAAACTAATCATAATCATTATTTTAATAAATTATTTTAGTACATGTAGAGTATATGATAAACAAATGAAGCACGGGCTAGATGAGAAACACACGAAGCACGAGCAACGAAAACTATATACTGAACATATAATGTATACACGCAACGTATACTGTCGATTGTGCTTACGGGAGCATATATTGAAAAATATATTGCGTACAAACGCAACATATCCCATAACATAATAAATCAAACGAAAAAATTTCTCAAAAAAGCTGAAACATAATCAGCTGAAACATCATCAATCATTAATCATACATATATTGAAGGGGAGATAGGGGAAGAGAGAGATAGAGAAAATCCGCCTAATGTCTCGCCCTCAGCCTGGGGCCGCCAAATCGCTAAGGGGGTGATTGGATATGAATTCAACTAGTAAAAATTAATTTTTTTTAATTATAGTTAAGTTTGAAAGAAAAGTAGAATAATTAGTTGTTAGTTGATGTATTAAAATAATATTTAAAATAAAATATTTAAAGTTGATTTGATGTAAAGGTAGGAGAAAATGATTGAAATTGATGGTTAATTAAAATTATGTGGGTGAATGAATAGTGAATGAAAGTTGATGTGATGTGTAAGAATGATTAGTTGATATTATTTAATTGTATGATAATATTGGAGATAGTAGAGTTGAGTTAAAGTTGAGTTAAATTTGAGTTTTGATTGATTTTTTTACTGTACAATCTATATACAATCGCCCCCTAATTGGTCCTCATATTCGAATCCAAATTACCGTCGTACGATTGACCGTCGCACACCATAACTCGAAGCCGAGCCTTTCGCTATTCTAAAGCAGATCCGCCAGCACCGTCACTCGAGACGCGAGCCGTTGAAAATCAATGACCTTTCAAACGTTATACACCGCCAGTTTTGGGTTCCAGAAGCCTCACCTCAGGCCGCCGTACTAAACTCTGGTCCCAGCCGTGGTGGGTTGACACATGGTACAGTCTGGACATCGAAGTCTGTGCACCCAGATCGTCGCACGTCGAAGTGATCGATTTTTCTTATGGTTCAAAAAGGATAAATTGTAGTGGAACTGAAAGTAAAAATGAAAGAATGAAAGTGAAAGAAGAAAGAAGATAGAGACGAGTCATTATTTGACTTATGATAACGATTAAATCTCAAAACATCTGCCTACTATCTATAAAAAATTCAACTTACTTGTATTAAAATTTAATCAATCTCCATAAATTTGCATTAAAAATTCTCTCTCGTAAATATACAATTAAAAGAAGATTATGTAGGTAATTATCTCATGATGTTTTGGATTTATGATTACCATGAAACATGAGTCATTTTACTTATTCTCATGGCAGAAAAATTCCTTTCGATGCCCCTCATACCAAGTCCAAAAATAAAGAAAAAAGTGGATAGAAAAAATAGGAGCTGTAAAATGTCCAATCATAAATTAAATATATCAAAAGTTTTTTTTTTCTTTTAATAATAATAATAAATATATTTCACCCGCATATCAAAATCCCTACGGCAAATAGATCGGCGATGGGGTAGTTTATAAATATGAAAATAAAAAAAAATAATTGGACAAAAATAAAAAGAAAAAAAAATTGTGGACAAAAATAAAAATCACGTATTCTCATAATACGTTTTCTTAATTGATTTTTTTAAAAAAAAACGTATTATAGTAATACGTTTTAAAACTATATTTGTAAATTTTTTTTTTTAATAATTGAAAAAACAGTATACAACGTATTTCAATAATTCGCTTTATAAAAAAATTAATAAATAAAATGTATTTTGATAAATATGTTTAATAAATAATTAAGAATATTTAAAAAATAATTAAGAAAAAAATATATTATCATAATATGTTTTATAAATAATTATAAAATAAAACGTATTTTGATAATACGTTTTATATTTTAAAATTAATGAAAAAAAAAATTAATATGTAGTATGCATTTTGTGTTTTGGCTCGTTTGGGCTCGTCTGAACTCGGAATTGAGTCTGTTTTATCCTATACGTAGCTAACGAACCCTTCTATTCAATGATGCTTGCATGGCCAAATTATTTTTGAAATCATATTCTCCCAAAGCTCTTGGCCGATACATTAAACGTGTTTTGCGCGACTTTATTTTTTGGGCCCGTTCGGACTCGTCCAAGCTCGAAATTGATTTCCGCTTCTTCCTATATGTCGCCAAGGAACCATTCTACACAACCATGATTGCCTGGTCAATTTTCTGGCTAAATCTATTTCTCACGGGCTAAATAATTAATAAATCACCCATTATATAAATAGATGGTCCATGGAGGATTTGTTAATAGATGATTTGTTAATTATTTAGCCCCGTGAGGAATAGATTTAACCCAAAATTTAACTGGGCAATCATGGTTGTGTAGGCGGGTTCGTTGGCGACAAATAGGAAGAAACAAAACTCAACTACGAGCTTGGACGAGTCCGAACGGGCCCAAACAACAAAGTGGCGTGAAATACGTTTAATGTGTAAGTCAAGAGCTTTGAGAAAACATGATTTCAAGAATAATTTGGTCATGTATGCATCATAGAATAGAGGGGTTCGTTAGCTACGTATAGAAAAAAACAAAACTCAATACCGAGCTTAGACGAGTCCGAACGGGCGTTGTTGTTGTTCGCGGTCACGGCGTCTTCTACCTCCACCAATGTTGGCAGCGGGTTGATGCCTCGTCCTGTGTGACTGTGTACTCTGGGATGGGACGTAGTCCTCCTCGGATAGAACTTGACTGAACGACGCCCCTTGTGTGACCTCTTGGCCTCCAACAGTCAGAGAACTATAGGTACTGTAACGCCCCACTTTTATTTGTCGAAAATCATAATAAATTTTTGAAATTTATTTCGAAACACCTGAGGCGCTACCCCTTTTTAAATCGAACTTCAATACTTAACCAAATTTTCAATACTCAATCATTTGATCAAACTCAATCATCAATCATCATCAATAATACTAACTCCCAAAAATGGGTTTTTCAGAATTTCATAAATCATCACCCAAACCGGGTTCCAACAATATTCATAAATTCTAAGGAGCATCTCCTTAACATTATTCAGTCATAAAATCCGAAAATCTTAAATGCACTAATACTCCAAGTTCATAATCTTAAAAACTAGTTTCAATAATGCGGAAGCATAACAATAATAGGACCGGTCTTATAGACCGACCACCACTCGCTCTACTCCGCCGTCGTACCTGCCTCGCTTAACCTGAAACGTGAATTTCAGGTGGGGATGAGCACAGTTGGAAAAAGTAGTGCTCATCACTATCCAGTAAACATTAGTCAACATATAAAAACAGTAATCGTAAATATGTTCAGGTATGGTCGCAGCATGTATACGAAACAATCAATTATCCCCATCTCCCATCAATCATATCAATAATAAACTCATGTGCACACCTACGCATAGACTACTGCTGATAGACGTATCGAATGCCTTCGTTCAAGCCTTACATCAACTACTCAGCCAGTAGGATTATCTCCCCCGTCGGCCGAGCACCGCCCTGGTCTCACAACGGGGAACCGACCGAGCACAGCCCTGGTCTCATACCTCTGACCGAGCACAACCCTGGTCTTACAGGCGTAAAGAACCCCACGGGTTTTTTTTTCATAAATACGGGGCAAATGTTCGACGGCCAGTATAGCTCACATCGAAGGCTACATGATTCGCATGCATACACTGATCATACCATAAATTATAGTTAACAATATTTACAGCATAGACAATTTTAATAAAACCCACCTCGTGATTCGGTAGAGAAGTCACACAAACAAGTCGGTAGGTCGAGAGCTCGAATCCTCAAACACCTACATTAAGTCCAGATGCTGTAATCAACATCTATTCTGACTTAAACGGAAATTACAATTATTCTTAGCCGAACTTGATTCGACTAAGTTGTTCGTGAAGTCCTGTGGACGTTGGAACACTTTGACTCGACACTAAGACTCAACCAAATACACATGGGAGTTCACATAACCCAACACAAACATTGACCAAGTCAACCACTTAAAGAAACGGAAAACGAGCCAATTTACCGCTTTAATTGCAAAAGCCATATATTTAAAAATACTAGATTTAAATCAAAAAAATGAGTTGATCAGGTTATCATACGAAATTAACTCTCAAATTTTAACCAAAATTTCACCTCCCAGAGTTAAGCAAAACCACAAATTGTCAGCCCCAAACTCAACGCATGCTATTTTATAAAATTTGAGCAAGATTATGGCAAAAACGAGCATAAATTGACAACTAGTCCAAATGAATGAATTAAGCAATGAAAATTTTACAAAAGCAGTAACAGCATGAGAACAGTATCATATAAAATTTTCAGCAATTAACTAGTTTCTGCTGATTTCGAATTTTCAACAAGATCGAACCAAAATGAATCCAAATAAATCCCATATTTTTGTATGCTGAAACGCATCACAAAATAGACCTAGTCATAATTTTTCAGCAATTTAGCACAATAGATCAATTTACTAAAATTAAATTACGAAACTGCAGAATACAACAAATAATTTTTACACATAGAAAACGAAGACCAAAAATTCCAAAAATTTTACACGACCTATAAAACATAGAGGAAGACGACATACTTAAATTTCATAAGTTTTGGAGAACAACTCAATTTAATAGGCATTTAACAAGATTCTGCTCAGAATTTCATACAATTATTAAAAATAGCTATACTTAACATTTTAATCCGAAATTTTTACAAAACCTGTATTATTGGCAGTGGGACTATCACACAAAATTTCACGGCAATACGAGCAGCATACAATTTATCATAATTTATATACTAAAACAGCGACAATACAAGTTCAATAATTCATAACCGACTCGTTTTACGACGAATTCGTACGAAGTCTTCGCCATAAGACTAAGGACGACATAACATTCCAATCCACAGTCCTATACACGAATGAAGAGCTATCGTTCGATTTCCCAAAATCGACGAGTTCGTCTACACCCATTCACATATATATCGAACCAATTCCGAACTCATGTACACAAAACTTAACATAGGCATATTCACATGAATTCGATAATCACATTCCACAATAAAAAACACAACATAAACGAGACATAAAATTAAACGAGACGGGTCGAGCCTTGTATCGTTCTCGGGAATCGATCGAAAACGGAACGAACGGTTCGAAAGGACACGCGGCTCACGAGGGAGAAGACAGCGGCTCAAGGACGGCTGCTCGCGGCTGCTTGGACGCCAGCGGGATGCTTCTCAATCGTGAAAGTGACGCAAAGACATAACCTGGTCGGAAATTCAACTCTTCCCGGCGATGGACGGGCTGGTCGCGGGGAGAGACGACGAGTTGCTCGCGATACAAAGGCACGCGACTACGGTTCGCAATTGGATGTTCGTGGCTACAGGCTCGCTGATTGCACGCCGGTGGGACCGCTCTCGGTGACGGTGATGGAGAAGCTCAAGGAAACTGGCGAGAGGGGCTCGTGAGGGTGGCTGGTTGCGTCTCGACAATGGCTGGGACGAAAATCCCCTGCCGTGGCTGGCTCTTGGCAGAGGTTGTGTCGCACACAGTACGCCGGCGAAGGCTCGCGAGGGTGTTCACGGCGTGGCGTCACCGGCAAGACTCAGCGGAGGTTGATGCCGGCGATGAGGGTCGTTCGATTCGCGAACAGAGGATGAGGGAAGGGCGATTTGATGTCGAGAGATGATGGCGATCTGATGTTGAGAGATGAGGGCGACGGATGATGGAGTTTTGCTCGGTATGCGGGGCGATGAAGAAATCTGAGAGAGGAGAGAGCTTGGGAGCAATTTCGATTGATTGCAGATGCATGAGATAGGTTCTCCCAATCTGATGGATTCTCGATGGGGATGAAGGGCATGAGATTGGGTCAATAAAGTGGCTGAAAAATCTTAACTTTTGGGCCGAGTCTCTCTTGCAATTTGGGCCGAGAATAATAGCTATCAGGCCGATAGTAATTGGACATGATAAATTGGCTAATGACGGTTCAAAATAAAACTA